TGTTATGTTGTTTTGAGATAGTTTATCCTATTGTCTTTCAGACTTTGGTGCAGGTGAGAACTGATGTTCACATGTAGGATGCAGGATATGCATGTTTCCTGTCATTTGGGTAGAGCTTTAGCTTGTAAACTGCATGTCTGATATAAAGCAAAAGAACATGATCACGATGACTAGGTTGAATACTAACAATTGAGTAACATGAGCAAGGATGCACCTGCTCTTTAAACACAAACATCAGCAAACATTCATGTGAAATAGTCAGACTCTTTCAGCAGAGCTGTGTTCCCACAGAGCTTTCAAGCCACTTTGCTAAAGACAATGGAGTTTTTTGGTGTCTGGCTTGTACTGCAGTGGAAGCAAAGGGTTGTCTAACAGTCACATTTAATGACAAGAGTTTTGAAGTGGTGTAAGAAAAAGAAAGGAAAGCTACACTTCTAAGTTCTTGTTCAAATCTTTATTACAATCTTTGCTCTGTATTGTCAGAGACAGATCAATGCATGGCTCCTACACTGTAGCTGCAAGGTGAAGAAAGCTAGTGATGGTCAAATGATGCAATTCACTGGCCATGTCACCTCTTCATTTTTCACTTTGAGTTTGTTTTCTTGGAATCAAAATGTCTGCACTTGCACGATACTTTAAATGATTGCACAAGTGTAAAGCAATTTATTAATTTGAACACAGAAAATACTAAGCTTATCAAAATTCTTAGTGTTTTGAATAAATCTTAATCCCTGATTTGTTTAACAGAATTGTCTCACTTGTCTCATAAGAGCAATATGAAATTCCAGTCACCTGTTTATAAAATGAGTTTCACAGGGTTGTGCTTTCAGATATTGCTCCTTCTGGATATGGTAGCCAGTTGCCTCATTGCTGTCTGTTTCTGTTCTCCCTTTCGTTTCCCTCAGGGCTATGCACAGTTTGCCTGCCTTGCTGTTTAATCAGAAAAGTCTTGCTATTTCTGAACATTTGAGGAAGTATCTGCCTTAGACATGAATTTTGAGAAGGGACATGAGCAAACTGTCACTGCTTTATCCCTAGTATTTGCCATGTGTTACTTATGCTACACAGAAAGTGGTAAACACTCATTTTTCGTAATGAAGTTAAGGCTACAAGTCAAAGTTCAACGAGGACCACTTGAAAAACATTTGAGAGAAATCTCAGTTGCTTCAGTCTGTTTCATGTGACAACTCACAATAAGTAGATTCTTTCCTAAAGTATGTTTCGTGCTTTTGTGGTTCAAAGGTGCAGCACAGACACTCAAAGCAACAAGATTTCATTGCTACAGTAGATGGTAAGGACAGTGAACTGAGGAACAGAACACCTTCATGAAAAAAAGGGCCATTTAAAAGTACTTATTTACTGAAATGAACTTTTATACCTAAATAGCATTCTAGATTTGTAACATGTTTGTATTAGTATTTCTTGGAAGGAACTTACCCAACAAGACATGATACAGAAAAGAAGAATTTCACTCTGCTCAGTCTAATTTGTCAAAGATTTGCTTGAATCCTGCAAGATATTTGTACTGTAAGACAAACTGTAAACCGTGTTTATGCTTGACATGAGGAGCATCAGACATGGCCTGCTGAGTTTGGAAGCAACAGACCTCTAGGGCAATAAGTCACAGTGCACAAATAAATGTTATGTTGATGCAGCAGCAGAATTTTAAACAAAAACAAATCCTCTGCAGGCTGTTTTCCTAATGATTAGCACATATGCATGGAAGATGAGACCTTCACAAACCTTTATCAGAAGAACGAAAATTTATCAGCCTGGTTTCCTGTTTTTTTTTTTCCCTACTTGGAGCTGTGAGATGTTTGGGTTTTTTTCATTCTGGAACCATGGGCTTTGTCAGTCCTTCTCCCATCTTCCGTTGTGCAAGCAGGAGTTCACTGTACAACTTGGGTTGCTCGGAGACCTGACCCACTGTGAGCACAGCAAAACAGTATGAATGGCAAGAGAGCAAATGCAGCATAAGAAGGAAAGATGTCATGTTATCTGCCATCATCTTATTTCTGTGTTGGGTTTTTTTTTTTTGTGACATTTTTAACCTTAGAGTAATCCAGCTTACAAGAAGCAGAGAGAAGGGAGCAGAGTCTGCTTTTTTTGCCTGTTTGTCTCTTCCTTATTTTTCATCAGTCTCTTACTGATCTAGTGTGTGATTGTTGTCTCAGTGTACGTGTATCATAAGCTGAATCCCTGTCCTTCCCTGAATCCCTGACAGTTTCTAACTGTAGGAAACCAACAGCATGCCACGGAAGAGAGTTCTGCTTTTGGTAGTGGAGGAGAGGTGATCATGGTCATCCTGCTGTGTCTAGGAATGATTTGCAGAATCCTTTAAGTCCTATGAGTGTTTTTTCAAGAGCTCCCAAGAAAGCTGAACCCTGTGCTTCCATGTATCCCTGGAGGGGATAGTGGTGTTGTCATGTGAACAGGGAATGCAACATTAGCTCCATGAGCTGCTCTTTAATAGCTTGTGTTTATCATGCTTTTTAATTTGAATGACCGTGTTGCAAAAGAGTGTTTGCACATAAGAAAGTATTGAAAGGTGGGGAAGAAATAGTTCTGCGTCCACGAAGTTTTGGTATTTTGGGGGTGACTGCAGTTTGGAAAGTAGACTTCTAAATTTCTAGGGCCACAATATGTTGTAACTGTCTTGTTTTATTATTTGTGGAGAGACTGCTGTTCATGCACATCAAGACAAATCAAAGGCTATAAGGATATTTGACAAACTATCTACAAAGTTGACTGCCTCTCTTCCTCTTACATCTTTCATCCTTTCTACTGTCTCCCTGCTTCTATGCCTTTCAAATTTTTTGTTTGATTCTTCTCTCTCTTTTCTCCCTTTCTCATGCTCATATTAAATGATGTTTTCAGACAAGCGTCACAGAAAAGTTGGTTTTTTAAATTAACATAGACTCTGCTTTTTTTTGACTAGCCTGTAACAGTTAATGTGATTTGCACTTGTTTACCAGCTTTCTATTATTAGACGAACCATACTGGGACTAATATGTAGGTAACTATTAGTCACCAGTGAAGCTGCTAATTGTGTAGATTAATTAATCATTCCAATTGGATTTGCTGTCTCCAAACAGAGTTGTGATTAAAACAAAGAAAAGTCTCTGCCTGGCTTATCTTTTGAGAATGAGTGACTTTAATATGATGTACTACCTCATAAAAGTCAGATGCCTGGTTATTAATGCTCAGATATCACACCCAACACTGAAGTGGGAGGGCAACAGCTATTCCTGTCGATCCTCTTGCCATTAGTCATCATGCTGTGCACTTCATCTAGTTCCTTGACTGTTGCCAAGGTGCTGGGCAGTACATTAACATTGCAGCAGTTCCTGGCCAAATTATTGGTAAGGTGGACTGGCTGGTTCTTATAAAATGCCTCTTCCACTACTGGCATACATGTCCTGTCCCTTTAACACAGGAATCTCTTCTTCAGACTTGTTAGTCTACACAACCTGCTCCAAGCTCTCTATATCTGGCTAGAATCTAGCCTTCCTGTTTAGCAATAGAAAAGGAGCAATGTGGTTATAGTCCTTGAAATTTTCTCAAAAACAAGTTAAGGTTGCAGGGCTGAAAACAAATATAGGTTCTATGTACCTCATTAATTAATATCTTTTTTTATTAATGCCTATCCTGTAAAGTGTGAATGGCTGACAAGTGACAAGAGAACCATGGCTAAGCAGAAACAGAGATATGCCCCTTTTAGTGCTGGAAGTCAAGCAGAGGGACATGTTCACATCCCACCAAAATACCAGAGGCAAAAGCATTCCATAAGCTCTAAGTTTGGTTCAGCAACATTGCTTCTTACCAGGTTGTAAGCTGCTGCCAATCCCAACAGGCAAAAGGAAGAAAGAAAAAGCTGAGTGTACATCAGCTGACATGGGCATTGCTCAGGAATAGTTCAACTTTAAAAGCCTTTTATTATCAAGCTGTAACAAAGCTGCTTTGTACCATAAATACAAAGAAATGATCCGCTTCCCCTCTCTGTCTCAGGTGGGTAAGAAAAGTTCCTTTCTTCCTTGTTCACAGCACTCCCCAGGACTCATTCCTTTGTGTGGGAGGCAAGTCAGAAACCACTAACAAGAACAGAGAGCAAGCAAAGCCCTCGACCCTTCTGTGCATGGGTCATGTAGTTTATCACAGCTGTCCTCACTGACTTCCTTTCAGTTTCACCTGTGGGTATTTGCAACTCTCTTTGCTGATGCCTGTGGAAGGTAAAATTCCCTACTCTCAGGTCAGAGATGCCCTTAAGCCAGTAGCTGCTAAAAAAGTGAAGACTTGAGGTAGAGATGCAATGAAGTGTAGTTTGCTAAACCCTTCCTGCTGGATCAAGTATGTTGTGTGTGTGTTAAGTGCAAATGCAAGTAGGTCCCAGCTTCCGTAGCCAGAATTATGCTTTGAAGGCTGGTACTCGGACCGCTGTCCGTTTGGATCTGGCCTGGTATCCCAGGCATTGTCTGGAGATTTCCATTTCCCTTTGCCAAGTATTGAGTCTGTTGAACTTGTCCACAACCTTAACTCATAGCTCTGACATGCCTCAGCTCCAGCAGAGTGAATTCCCTTTTGTCACTCTTTGCAGTCCTTTTTCCTGATGTGTGTCTTGATGTGCATCAGGCGTGCTACCTCCCAAAGTCAAACCAGCTGCATCTTAAAGACAGGGAAAACCTTCACAGAAAAATCAAACAGACCCTTGCTGTGGTCTCTTGGTGGTGTATGTCCAGTTTGAGCCAGGATGAAACTGTTACATAGTAACAGATAATTATGTCTAAACAGAAGAAGATGTTTATGGCCAGTCAAAACCCAACACCATGACCCTCAATTGAGCCCTTAGTCTAAAAATTGTAGTGGTGGTTTGGTAAATGTTTACATCCTTTCAGTCTTAAAGGTAATCAGCTGCACTGTATCGATGGGAACCTAGAGGATATAATAAAAGAGTGAAGTCAAGATGTATCAAGCCATTTGAACATAATATTTTCTCTCTGCAGGCATTTCTTCACCGAATCCGCCAGAATGCTGTGGACAAAGCTGAGAAGTACATAACTGAGGAGAATGTTAAGGTATTCTGCCTCCCTCATTTTCTTGGTAGGGAAAATTGTATGTAATGAGAGGCTAGATTCAGAGATATGAATATCAAATATCCTCATGTCATATTAATGCTTATTATTAAATTGGTTCTCTAGGGAAAAGAGGCTCATGTTGACAGTTTATCTGTCAATCTGTTTGCCCATTGGTATAGCTGTCATCTTCCAGCAAGTTTTCATCCCACCAGCTAATATCAGTAAAATTTAATAGTATAGTGTTGTCAGAGATACTAACTTTTGACAAGATTTGTGAAATGGTGCGTAGAGGACAGAGAGGCCTTTTCAGTGTCTTTGAGAGGAAAGGCGGGGAATGTACAGCCCTTGTCTATTTTGCTTGACAGTATTCAGTTAGCCATCTTGCATCTGCTGTCTTTTACAAATCTGAAACTGATTTGGTTTATGAGAAGGAGGCAGGGATGTCTCTTTGTGGTCTAGTAGGAAGGAATTTTGGATCTTTTGGGAGGACCAAGGGAGGTTATGGATGCCGTAAGAAGTGTATCACTCCAGCCAGAACTAGTGCAGCTGGCATGTGTTTTTCCTAAGCCTGGATCCTCTCTTTCACCTACTAGTATTACCTGAATGAACAGAGATCCTAGCAGGGCTCTAGTCCCCATTTTTGCTATTCATTATGCAGGCTGGCAATACTTTAGTATCAACTGACTGACATCAGCAAGAAGGCTTGGCAACTTTGTGGCGTTAAGCCTCTTGTCTTCAAATTTGGAAGTTTCTGCCCCCCAGAAACTCACCATCTAGAGTCTGAAGTAAGTTTGGGAGTGGCTGAAGAAAAAATAGACAAGTGATGAGTGACAGAAGATCTTGTGTGCAGACAAATGTGCAAAAAATAAGCTCTGCATGGGAAATAAACCTACACAACCATTTGCCAATTTGATGAACAGCTGTAGATGTTGATGAAATTTGTTATTCTATCATTATTCATGTAACATCCTAATTAATATTAATTATAGCTGTCACATACTTGGGCTCAGTGCCCCCAAATCCTGTGCAGAGGAATCTATATTTTCTCTGCTGATTTTAATGTATTTTTACCTGAAGTTTCATCACACTCCTCTGGGGAAGCACCACTTCTTTTTTGCATCATTCTTGAAGTGCCTTGGGGAGTCTCTTTCAGGCTATTGTGAGACCTCATTTGTAATTATTATTACAATGCCTAATTTTCAATAGCAGCTTCTCTTCAGTAATGAAGGGCCTATGCCTTTTGCTGGTGAAATAGAATTACAAAGCACAATTTTCCTGATGAGACTCAATATTACCTCCCCCTCCCACCCCTTCTTCCCCCCTACCACAGATAATTACATTGTCTTTCCTGCAGTTGAAAGATGGTTTTTCTTCCTTTCTTTCTCTCTCATTTCTCCCTCCTTGCTGGTAGAAGCAGGACAAGCAAGGTTGTGTTGGCACTTCTGGTAACTCTGCCTGCTAATATTATGTATCTTGAGTCACCAGAGAGCTGTGAGGTGGCTGGCAGCAGCAAGAATTGTAGCAGAGACTGTATAAATGGTTTGGCAGCTTATGTAAGGAGAAGCCTGTCTTTTCCTCTCTGTCTTCAAGCAACTGAAATGTCTAGATGAAAATATAGAGTATTCTGGCAGTCATTCACCTCTGAGTAGAAGGAGAAAGCACTTTTTAGGATAATTTGGGTTATTACTCCCAGTATTTTTGCAGGTTTCTTCTACAGCTGGCAGTAAGTGGTGGAGCAAATCTTTGCCACTGTATCCCCTTCCAGAAAGACCATGTTGAGTCCTGTGCCAGGACAAGATTTTGCAAGTACTCCAGTGACTAACAGCTGCAGCAACATCATAAAAAATGTTTTTAGTTTATTCACTGCCTCCTCTGGGAATAACTCCGTTGATATGTTACTATTATGCTACATTTACAGCAGGTCACGGAGGTCATTTTACTGATACAGTAGCTTGAAGGCACTACAACTTGAGGGTGTATGCAAACTCCAGACATAGGGGCTTATAAATGGTAACTGTGTATTAGATACAGAAACACATGCAGTCAAGGTCTCTCTGCTGCCTTGATTTTCAAGTGACTCTTCTCATCTGCAAATTCTGCTGCAAGCAGAGCTCTACTGACCACCACAGAATTCGTTAGATTATGCAGATACTCCTGGGTTCAAAAAATACACTCCCAAAGACTGCTCCTGAAGGATAAAATCATCCCTGACAGATGTTTTCTTCTTCCTTGTTAATCCCCATTTGGCACAGCTTCTGGCAAAGCCATGCAGACAGAGGCTACTGTGTCATCACATCAATTTCAGCCGTGTGACAGAACCATTGTATGCTTTGCTTGAATTAGCATGTGAAGGTTTCTGGATGGTCCTGTCTCCCTGCCCTTTATTTTGGTTCAGAGCCCATCAGCACAAATTCAGTGTGTTGGAATCTTTTAGTTTATTCAGAACTAAAAAGGAGCAGTGAGGCCCAAATATGCATAGTACCATATCAGTATTCCTGATGTGAGAGAAGAACTGAGACAAGGAAGATGCAACAGTCTCTGCTTTGCACATGCAGCCAGCTTGCAGGAGGAGTTTGAGAGAAAATATTCTATTTATCTTTGAATAACAGAAAGTATAGAGTTGAACCTGGCTATATGCAGAAAGGAGCGCTCCTTGAATTCTTGATCTTGTCTAGCGCTGCAAAACCAGAGAGAAACTGGTTTTAAGCCAGGAATAGAGGTTTCATTCCTGTCTCCAATGATTAGGCTTAATTTACACTTTATTGTTTTTCTGCATTACTGCCGTATCACCATCCACGAGGCTGAATCAGTGTCACATCTGGTGAAGGAATTCCCCTGAATGAAGTTGAACAGCTTCATGTTATGATAAGGCACTTAGGCATGTGGTGGAAGCTGTTGGGCTCAATCACTTCCCACACGGAATGCCAGGAAGATGAAGGCTGTCCCTGTCAGGCTGCACGCTTTGGGGTTCAGAGGAGTGTCATTCGCTGTGCAAGACCTGGGAAGCCGCTTCCAATGTGAAAGCTGGTTTGACTGCACTGCACATCTTCCCTTTGCAAGTGACATAGTTAAAACAACATGATAGAGAATGTTGTCTGCAATATGTAAGTACTGCAGGCTCCAGAGTTAACCAATTTAGGCTTTTGTTCAGTGGCTGTCAATACTGATGGCTGTCCCCCCAAGCATCAGGACCTCTCCCCGTGTGTAGGTAACATTCCATCTCCTGTATGTGTATTCACACTTGCTTCTCATATTTTGGATGAATATTATTAAGACTCATAAAGCTTATGTGTTTATAGCAGCTTTCAACCTGGCAGTTTATTCCCTTTAGCACATGAATATTCAAATCACTAAGGACCATTTAGCTGTGAGATTCCACTGTTACCTTTCAGTACATGTCTAAACTACGGCCCTCTATCCCATTACATACACTTTTTAGAACCACTGAGATCAATGAAAGGGAACTCTAAAATGCTGCTCTTGTGGTTTGCAAGCATTTTACACTGCTCTGTACTCTTGTCAGTGAAATGCTAGATCTCACGTGGCAGAGATTTGGTCTCTTATTTACAGGTACATATTGGTGTGTGGTAACTTCAAGTCCCTTTCTTACACAAAATTATTTCCAATGTATGGGAAAGAAAGGCAAACAACTTCCTGCTTCTATCTCCTGCAAAGTGAGTTTAATCCTTGTGATTCCATTCACCTGGTTGGTCTCATAGGAAATCTCTAGATTTGAAAGAGATTGCTCACATTCACATTCATCATGCTCAAGTAACTGGAAAGATAACCTTTATTTATAGAAGGTACTTCAGTATCAATAAAGATTTCCATAGTGGGCCAGGAAAGGGGCAAATACAGTGTGTTTAATTCTGTACAGGTCCTTGTGCTTTAGATGCTATCACAGCAAGTCTAAAGTCACAATATTTTGAAGCCACTACTTTAACAAAACGCGCTCCAATATATTAACAGCTAGCATTGTTTTTTGTTTCAGATCTTATTTTCTAACATTGAAGACATTCTTGGTGTTCACCAGGAGTTCCTGGCTGCCCTGGAATTTTGTTTACAACCAGAACCTCAGTCTCAGCATGAACTGGGAAATGTTTTCTTAAAATTTGTAAGTACAATGATTTAATGCTATCTGAAAATGCAGTTTCCTGTCATAAGCTCCCATGCCCCTTAGCTAGCCCTAATCTCTAAGGCTTGTGGCAATACTATGACAATGTGTGTCTTGTATGAAAGTTGTAGGTAGGGTGGGAAAAAAACTTGTGAATGAGGTTAGAACAATAGAAACCACATCAAACTCAGCTAAACAGCAAGATATTTTTATAAACTCTTCCTTTTCCCATTGCATTTTTTTCCTTATTTTGTCACCCTGCTGATCACATTTTATTGCCGAGAATTTGTTTGCTTTGGTTCCAAATGTTTCAAAAAAGCAGCAGTTTCCAGTGAATTAATAATTTGTCTGTGTCTTTTAAAATAAAGAGTAAATTGAAACCTTCAAAGATGAAAATTAAAAAAGACAGTACATGATTTACAGTAGTTAGTGTCTACACATACATTTATCTTTCAGTAAATGGAAGGTAGTGTGAGGTGGGTTATCTTGATGAAATCCAGCACAAGTTACCACATGCATCCTTTTGCTGTGGAATAAATGAGTATCTGCCTTCTGTAGCTTAAAAATAAATGGAATTTGGCTTTTGGACTCTCATCTAGCTCAAGAATGCCAGAGACACAAAATATGAAGTAATCATACAACATAAATTCACCCTGTCAGTCCTAGGTTGTTTAGAACCTTTTGATGAGTTACTTTAGTGTCATTTGACTTTGTGCCAGAGTTGTATTATTTGTTCTCCTGCTACATCTATAATATGATCAGATGTGCCAAACAGGTCCAGTCAGATTGATACTGATAAGTGATTCAGGAAATCACAGATCCAGTGTAGAATCTGTGCAATTGCATCTAGTGATTCTACCATTGCTTCTGTCATTGTAATTTGTTTCTTATACTGTGAAATTCTTCTTGTTGTAGATTTTTGGGTTTTTTAACTTGGCCTGACTTTCAATCATGTATGTGTGCCATCCTCTGACTGAAATATATAGAGAGTATACTGTATATGCAAGATCAGTTATGTACACCCAGTTACAAGCTGGAGTAATTTAAATGCAAAGTTACCTAATTTACATGTATAAACATGTGAAGTTGCACATTTTTTACACTTGGAGCAGCCCTCCTGAGATGTTTGAAAATTAGGAAGCACATACATAATAGCCAGTTCTTCAAATTCTTATTAACTGCATTAAGCCACAGGCCAACTTTCTATCAAAATATGTTCTATTATGCTTTCATCATCAAAAATTCATGCTTTCACAGTTCATCAGGTTTGAGCAGACAGCAATTATACTTCCATTCATTAGTCATAGAGCTTTATGAACTACCCCCATTTGTTTAATTTTTATTTATGCTGTGACAATTATTAAAATAGTGTCAGAAAGTGTTATATTGAAACCATGTCTAAAAATTAGATCAGTTGTGAGGACTGCCAGCTGCTGAAAAACATACTTATGGACTTAGTTAAGCCTTGAATGCTCACTAGAATTATTGCCTACCAACAAGATTTGCTGTACTAATACATTAGTATTCATTAGTGAGTGTATGAAAATTAGGGGACTTCTGAGAGATGCTGTCAAATCGTCTACTGTGTTTCAGAGTGGTGCTGAATACCCAGAAGTGTTAACATCCTGTCATTTGACTGTATTCCAGCCTGATATATGCAGTATATGAACATGTAATTTTGTAACTTTATTACTGTTAAATTTCATAAATTCTGCAGTGTTCCTTATTTATCAAACATGCAACAATACAGGAATTATGAAACTGTAATGCATAGGGTTAAATGCTAGGACATTCTCCCCTGGATCTCCAGCTCAGAAGGGTTCAAATCTTGAGTTTTGAAGAATTTCAACAGATGATGAAATACACTTGCTCTCATATCCAGATATGGAAAATAGTTCTATTTTAGAAGACCTTGTGTACTCCATTTGATCAGGTGATCATGAAAAGTTCATTGTGTGATGGTAGGTGGTAGAATTTCAGTATGTCCACAACAGACAATAAAGAACATACTTACACATTTATTCTAAGTTGAATCTGCAGCCTTCAATAGAATGGCATGGAGAACTAATCTTTAACATCAGAGAGCTTATACAGTGATTTTGTGATAATCACACCTCATCAGCATAGGCTCTTTGTGCAGGTCATGAAAATGTATGACTGTCTGCAGAGAAGGGCACAGAATTTACTGATACTTAGTTTCTGATATTGTCATCTTACTAGAGGTTTGGTGAAGTAATAGCAAGAAACCTGTTTGAAGGAATCATGTTTTGTTCTCATTTTTAGGAGCAATGTTGCATAAGTGATCAGTTTTACTGTCAGTCATGAGGTTCTTGTTTTGAGAGTTATATATTTTTTTTAGGTTTTTCATGTTGAAAATATGTTGCTACAATTTTTCAAGTGTCTTATTTGCTTTTCTAATCAAAACACTTTTCAAATTTGCACTGATTTGTGGGCAGTGCTAATGCACCCAAAATAACATTGGGGAATAAACTACTGGGTAAAGATCTATTTTATCTAAACTAAGAAACAGTATAGTCTTACTTCTGTAGCCAAAATCAGAAGGTCTAGCTGTGTATCTAGCAGATTTGCTGAGTAAGGAGGTGCCATTTTTATGTGGTCACATCTGTGACCATAATTGCACTTTAATATAAAGTAACTGCAGGTTCAGAATTCCTGGGCTAACATCTGTAATTATGTAACTGATAATTTCCTCACCAGGAGATGGGAGAGTCCAGGACTGAATGTCACCCAGAGAGGAAATTAAGCACTTCAGACACTGAGTAATTTAAAGCATAGTTCTCATATTTGTGGGTCTCATGCATGAGGGACAGCTGGAAAAGACTTAATGAAAGCACTCTGGTGTGTGTATAATTATTGTACTGACTTGAGCTTTAGCAAAGGGGTTTTGTCATGATCTAAATATAACCTCCCAAAACTCCAGGCACTGAAAGCTGCAGTCAGAAACCTGAGCAGTGACATTGTGTGTGTTGATGTGGTGGATGCTGTTGTGTTAATGGTTACTATTTTTAGTTTTAAGCATGCTGCTTGTGTGCATTCAGGGAGTTGAGGAGGGGTGAGAGAGGGAAATGCAGGAGAAACTCATATATCTGTCTTCACATTCTGTAACTCTCCAGTTTTTATTGTTTAAAACAATCCCATGCCTCTCTATTGCTTCTTTTCTACTGTGCTATGGACCCAGCCCTGCATTTTCCTGCATCTGGTGGTCAGAAGCTTTTGTTTCTTTTCAGCTTCCCAGTATTAAACTTTAGTGCTAATATGAACATCTGTGGATGAAGGATAACAGTCTCAAACATCTGCATTCCAACTCTTTGCACCATGATCTTTGTGGCTATTGTTTTATTTGCTTTGTACCATTGTTGTTGTGTTTGGACATACATGTATTTAATCGCAATTCTTCCTTTGGGAAGTACAAAAAGGGGGGGAAAATGTAATCAGATTAGTGATAAGCCAAATGCAAAAGCATTTGACAGTCTCTAAGCATGTGCCTCTAGCTCCTAAACTAATGTTAGCACTATGTCTTTCCTATGTGACAGCATCGAAGGGAATGCCCTGGGAGTGCAGCTGTATTCCCATGGATTCATGTTGCTTAGTTCCTTCATTCTGTAAGGATCACTCTGAGTTGTCTTCCAACTAGCTAAATGCTGCAGATACCTTCAGCTAACATAGGAAGTTCTACATCTCTGAAGAATGCTGGAAGTTGTACCAAAACTCAGATTTACTTCTTAGTTCTGGGGAAGTGAAAAGGCTCAGATACAATGTTTTCAGGCCAGGATCCTAAATAGAAAATTAATTACGTGAATTCCACAACAAGCTCTGAAGGGCATTGTCTACATGGCCCCGAAGTGCCAGCTCTGGAAAGCCTCACATGCTACGTGGCGCTAATGCATCTAAACTACTTGTATAGGCAAAGTAGCATGTCTGAGTGCTTCTGCATGGCACTGCATTGTGGTGTACAAGCAGACCTGAACCAGGAAAGAAACTGCCACTGTGAGAAGCACCCAAAAAAATGATTGATCTTTTGGGCTTCTGAATCATTCAGGCACAGAAACACTTGTTATGGCTTCTTTGTGAATCCTTTCAGGGTTTCCAGATATCTGATGTTTGCAATGGGTTCTGCATCTCTGGTCATTTTAGTTAGAAGAAGTTGCACTGTCTTTGACTATCAAGATCAGTGAAGCAGAACTTAGTGCTACCAGCTGACCCATGTTTCTTAACAGGGGATTTCACTCCACTACGTGCTGGTGGTTGTGACATGTTCCGGTATAAGTACTGTAATGTAGTTATGAAGCTACCTACCTTTCCCTTCCTTTAATTTCTGTAATGCATTGGTTATTTTGTGTGTTTTTTATGAGCTCCTTCCATTTAGGAAAACTGTTATGGACAGCTGACCCACTCCTTAGTGTTGCATTGAAATGGTGAAGTCTGCTACTTCCCCAGCCAACTTGTTGGAGGTTACCCCTCAGCCCTGACTGGCAGGGAATTTCCAGCTGGTTGCTTTGTTATGGTTCCCCTCCAGATCTCTGAGCTTCTTCCAGGACTTGGTTCTTCCCAGCCACCTCAGTTTCTTCCTTCTGCTGGAGTAGTCAGCACAGCTCAGAAATGTCAGCCCCCTTGCCCCTGGCTTTACTCTGTTCCTGGCTACTCTGATGCAATATCCTGACACACGTGCAAGTATCCCTGAGATAGCAAAATCCATTATTTCAGCAAATAATATTTCACTGATGCATTAAGAGGAAAAGTGGTGCAAGTCTGTGCTCAGAAAGCTGATGTTAGCTTACTAGAGAGTCAGTTAGGAATTAGTGGAACACCTCTATACATTATTCATATTAGAGGAGTATCACATGCTTCACATAAACTGCAACCCTAATGCCACTCTGAGTGCTCACCCCTTTGCAAAAAATAAGGTTTCAGAGTATGACAAAATAATCACTCCAGTTTTGTCTGTGTCAGTAAGTTACTATGTTTTTCCTTGCAGAAAGACAAATTCTTTGTGTACGAGGAGTATTGCAGCAACCACGAGAAAGCACTCAGACTGCTGATGGAATTGAACAAGATCCCAACAGTGAGAACATTCCTCCTGGTAAGCACCTTCTCTAGCACCCTTGACTTACTAATCTGACTTCACACTGTATTCATAATAACCCTTTGGTATCCCAGGAATGCTGGACGTTTTGCAGATATTACCAGACATTACCCCTTTTAGGTATGCAGCACTCAGGATGGATTGGTATTGAACTTGATTTTCAGGCCAAGAACAAAGCACAGCTCAAGTATGAGTGATTTCAGTGGAAACAGGGAAGACTTTTTTTTTTTTTAAAGAAGCAACAGAAAATTTGAGCAAAGGTTGTGAAAGAACTAATGCAGTAAGCCAGCAGCAGGACTCTGACTAGTTCCCAGTGGATCTGGTTCTCTGTTCAGTTCTCTGACCAGTTCACCATCTGCAGACCCACCAGCAAAATGTGGCCTGCTTCTGACACTCTTTTCCCCGTGAGTCTGGTTGTGAGCAAGACATGCAGTCTGGATGAGTTGTGTTGATTCTGCTGTTGCTGCTTGTTTAAAAAATGATCCAACTTCCCATCCAACCCCTGTTGCATTAGCATCTATATTGTGAGAGACTGTCCTACAGCCTTCAAATGGCTCTACAGGGGCTGAGCCGGGAGGAGAAACTGCCTGTAGACGGTGCCTTCTGCCCAACATTCCTTATTTTTCTTTCTTTTCTTGGATTGTTTCTCCTCACAGCCTTCAGCCCTATTCTTTTTGATATTTGGGTGTCTTGCTTTCCTGGCAATGGATGGGATTTGGGAGGTGAGAGACTAATTTATCATATTAGCTTTTTCTCTTAGTAAATGCTATGAGGTAAAAGGAAGGCAATCCTTTTGCAAAGGACCTGCTCTTCTTTCTGCCCCTCTTTCTGCTCTTCCTTTTCCCTTTCGGCCAATGTCCTTCTCTTTCCCAATATAGTACAGCAAAAGGGTCAGAGCATTCTTTCAGCCACAAAATATAGACCTTGGAGGGAGCAACAGGGACAAGCACTCATGCTGTTGTGTGGTCAGAGTCTTTTTGACAAGTCTGAATTTTAATAAACCTTGTTAAATCATTAGTTTGAGTCACCAAATGCCCCTTTGCTTTTTTGTGAGTTCCTCTGAGTGCCTCTGTTGGGGGAAACTAACGAGGAAGAGGAGAAACAAAAGTGCATGTAAACACTGTCCTTCCCAAAATTCGGAGTGTTCTCTGCTTCCACTAGATTGGCAGGAGTCTCCTGTCTGTGTTACCAGCAGCAGCTGGCAAACAGATTATGAGGCACATAAAGGATGTCACAGTGTCTGCTGGGTCTTGCTGTGGCACCTGAATCCAAGAGGTTCTCAAAATAGCAGTAAATATGGGAGGAGAGGATACACTGAAGTGTCTATTTTGTGGTGGCTGCTGTAATTTCTTCCAGGCCTCCCTTCTCTTCTCCACTGCCTCCTAAAACCAATGCTATAATGCCACCATGCAGAGAAAGCTGCCTTAAAATACAAAGCTTTGCCTGTGAGGACAGATTTGGCCCGATTGCCCCCTCACAGCTGCTGAAACACAGAATGTGGGAATGTGTTTGAAAAATCAGTAAGTGTTAAAGGGCAGTTTTGAGCCCAGAGCTAGAGAGAGGGCTGAAAGAAGAGATGGGAAGGACTGAATCACTCGAGACTTGGAAAATTGGACAGGGAGCATTGTGAGCTGGTAGCCAAGGCCACAGATCTAGAATAGCCTGGGGAAGGGTTATTTTACAGACGATTGTCTGTAAAAGTACCAGTTAGTACTAATGAGATTTATATATGATGTCTGTGAACATTCCTTCAAGTGGAGGATTGTTGAACTACAGCCAAAACATCACTAAATTTCAAAGTGTCTGAGCCACAGCACACATTTCAGAGGAGAAAATGTTATCAGTGATGTCCTAAAGCAAGCACATCTTGACTGAACTGAATTTAAACTTCAGCTTCCATTGACAGGACCGATCTGCAACTGGGATGATTTTTGGAGCATCATCGTCCAAGTTCATGGTCAAACATAGGAATGTGGAGTAGTTGATCTGAAATAGATTTGAAGTCCATCTGAGTCCACTACCTGTTTCTAGCAGTAACCAGTAACACAGTCTTCAGGGAAATGCATAAAAAGCTTACAGTAGTTCAGTATTTTTTTTATCACACAGAGATGATAGATTATTGTGACAAAAGAAGCACAGGTCAAGGACTGTAGATTAATTTTTTTAAATGTCAAATCCAATTCTTATATTCCCTGTCTATGTCAATCCTGAGAAATTAATTTACATTATCTGCTGAGAATTTTACCATCACTTGTTTTGAGGTAGTGTATGCAAATTTATCAGTGAAATTATTATTCTGATATGCGGGGCCCCTCCAAATTTGTGTGAACTCGTGGCACAAGTATTGCAAGGGTTGATCTGTTGCTGCTTCTGTTCCTTAACCTAAAATCTGTTTGAACTTGGATTTCTTTGGTGTTTTGGTCCAGTATTTGTTCTGTTTATTATTGTGTGTGAGTAACACTGGGAGAGCAGTCATTTTTGTAGGTAAATACACTTCACCTTCTTTTTGTTTGGAAGTCAGAGCTTCACAAAATTAATACTGAGACTCTTTTTTTTGTTCTGTTTTTGTGTTGGGTTTTTTTGTTTATTGTTGAATATTTTTTTTTTTGCTTTGTTTTGTTTTTAATAAGCATCAGAATTAATGAAGCCCAATTCCCTTAAATGTCATTGCCTCCTGCCCCTCCTACCTACAAGTTGGCCTTGCCTGCACGTCCCACAGCTTTTTTTGTTGGGCAAGTTGCAACATGTGCTGTGATTGGTTGAGCTACATGCGTGCTGGGTAGCCACCCACTGTGTGCCCATGCTGTTTGTCCAGCTGTGCTTAAACATCATGTTTTGCCACAGAATTGGTGGATGTGATGCAGATGACTCATTTCTTTCAATTCCACTTTGATTTTCTCCAGGCATAAGGGTTGGACTCAAGTTAATTACATGATTACTAGTTAGCAGGCTTTATTTTAGCCTTCAAGAGTTTTTTGAACCAACACTGCAGGTTTTACACAGTGAACCAAGACGTATCAATCGTGGGAGTAGGCTAGATTCTTTTCAGTAATGGTGCATCTAGGTTTGTTCATTGTCATCGTATCATTATGACATTTTTTGATTCACCAGCCGTATAATATTTCTCTGGGAAAATATCTTTCTACAACAGCCACTGTTTTCCACAGCAAATTTTATTTTACTTTGCAGGCTTGATGGCTGTATTGCAGTGGTGAATGAAGTCCCATTTCCTGTATCTTGGGTGTGGAAAAGTGCTTTCTGACTGTAATAGGTGTTACAGGAATAAAAAATTATGTCAAAGAGTATATGAAAGCTTTTTGTAGCAAAGTGTGTAACATCTGTTTCCGTTTTTTATTGTAGGGTTGCATGCTGTTGGGAGGCAGAAAGACTACAGACATTCCACTAGAGGGTTATCTGCTGACTCCGATTCAGAGAATTTGCAAATATCCACTTCTGCTTAAGGTAAACCATAGAAAGTATTTCTCCAGATGGTTATTTCATTCTTGGAGTGATTCTGCAATTTTTCAGCCCTGACATTTTTTGTCACTATTACCTTCCTGGTTTTCACTTCTTAAAGTTGGATCCTCTCTGAAGAAAATGGTACAGACAAAAAGCTGGCAGATGTTGACAGGCTGCTCAATCTTCTCATGCTGTGGGTAGACCAGACAGGGTAACTAACTGCCTAACTAATGCCTTCTGACTTCCGTTCTCTTCAGATGTTTACTAAGACTTGTGTTATTTTAGCCACTTCCTGAAAAGCTGTCTTCAGACAGAATTGTATCAGTGCCCTGAGGGACTGATGGCTCTGGGCACTGGGAATGGAATACATCTTTCATCACAAGGTCTCTAGTTTGAGTGTGTTCAGGTTAGTAGTGATCAAAATGCTGTATCATCTGACAGCTGTTTGGTGGCTTATTTGAAAGCTGTTTGGTTGTCTCAGATGAGTTCCCGATGGACGAGTGTCATTGCAGAAATGACTGCTGCAATTGGCACTAATTGGCCCCCTTGCTAGTATTCTTACTCTAAGAGCTAAAGAAAAGACCTAAAAAGAGCTAACTTGCCTCTCATCCTTCCAGGTCAGGGCTGGGTCACATGCCTTGTAGGGACAAGGAGAGGGAAAAGTAGGAAGTGGCTTCTGGGAGAGCTTACATCACTGGTGGCCTCGTAGCTCCTCTGTGGCTAACAGCCACCAGTCTTCAGTGATGTCAGTCTCTTTCTCAATCAGAGTAAGATTACACTTACTAAAAGTAATAATAAGAAAAAAAATGCCTCACATTTTGAAAGGAAGGTCCTGTCCTGAATTGTGGAAGAAAGTAAGAATTCTTGGTCATAGGCTGATCACATGAATCATCTGCATGTCATGTAAATCTTTTGCAGGGCTGGGTCCATACATTCAGCACATATGAGGGTTTTCATAGGTACAAGCTGCTTAGCTCAGTACTGATCAGTTGTTCCATTCGAAACTGTTTGTTTCATCTAATAAATGCTACAATTACTTCTTTCCATCCAGTCGGAGCTTTTGGAGCCTAATTTTCTATGTAGGTCTTTACTACAGGTGGAATCATTCTGTTGTCTTTGCCGCTATGCACAAAACGCCCCTTGCAGCAGACATTCATGCACCATTCCTTATGGACCAAGCTACTGGGATTTATGTGCATACAGCCATTTTATCAGTCCAGTTAGGCTGTCCACAACTCCACTTACAGTTTGACTGAAGAAAAGCACATCAAATTTAAGCACAGGAAAGACTGATGTGTGAGACTGCTACAAGCATTGCATACACATTATTAGTGGTAGTCAAGACTAGGTAAGGATGCCTAAATCAGGAAAGCACATTAATGGCTCCAGCTCTGATTTATCTTTGGAGAGGACTGATTGTGTGAGATAATTGAAAACCTAATGATGCCTCAGTTTAAGTCCACTGTGTTTATTTGACGTTAGAATTTGTTTTGCGAAGGGGTAGCAAACAAAAGGCCAGAACAAAAATATTTCTAAACTCTGGTGGTTTCCACTTTCTTACGTGTGCACAGTTGTGTATGTCCAAAGGCCTGCTGGCACAACCCTCCCTTCTTTGAGAGCCAAAACCAAGACCAGTAAGACTAAGGCTGAAACTGGTACTTGCCTTAATGCCACAGCAGGGTAGAATAAAAATAATTTTGTCTTCTGATGGCAACACTGTGCCTGCCTTCTGGAATGGGGACTCTGGTGTTGGGCTCTGGTGTGGTTCACCCAGACCAACATGTGCTTGTGGAACAAACAGGCGCAAAGGGAGCTGTGATAAGGCATCTCATGATGTTGCATTCCATTTTTCTATGGATCTCCTTTTGTATACAGGCTGCTGTAAATCACACACTGCTCACTACTTGGCATTTCCAGGAAAGGAAATAAAAGTTTTTGGTTTTGTTTTTTCTAAAAAAGAAAAAGCTGATGGAGCATTTAATTTTGGTTAGGCAACAAACCTGCCTCAGTCTATGAGATTATGCCATTACTAGGGGTTGTTCAGCTCAGAAAATCTCTGTGATCATTAGGAGTGTAATTGATACTGTTTTTCAAAGGTAGAACTTGTAGTGAATAAATTGTATCCCATTAAAGACTCGTTTGATACTTGCTAGGACAAAATTACAAGAGTGGACACAAATGTTTCACATGAGAACAGGCTGGTTCTGTCAGTGCTGACCAGGAAAATGCAACTCGAAACAAAAAGGAGGGGGGGGAAGGGGAAAAGAAAAAAAAGAAAAAAAGGTACGTTTAAAAATAACACAACCCTCAAATTAAGTGTTTGCTCTCCCTTTGCTACTGAACTGCAGTTATTGCTCCTGAAATAGCTGATTTGTATTCATGGGGATTGGATCTTTTTTTATCTAATTCCCAGGGCAAACAGGTACTCCTGTATTCCATTTGATTAGAAAAGTCATAGACCAGAGCCATCCTGCTTTCCTCTTTTACTGTGATTTTTAGCAAGAGTTTGTGAACATCCAGATATTCTGGTAACTTTGATATGACCTTGTTATAACATAAGTGTTTAGTATAGATAAGTAGTTAGGTTTGGTAAAGGTAGTATGCAGACAGGAATTCAGGTTTGCTTTTGTTTGAAAATCAACTTAAGTAGTAGGGCAAGGCACATTTAAAATGCTGTAACTATTTTTATACCGTATGTGAGTAATAGCATCGAGCAGGGAGTTAATTCGAGTTACTTAATTAGCAATAATATACTGGAATATCTCCAAGTACAGTTATACCTTAAGCATATATTTTAAATATATTTCCAATATAAAATTAGCATAGAATTTGCTTGTGAGTAAATTAGGTTTATCCCCAGTTCAAAATTTTCCTAATGTGACTTCCACTTTTTTTTGTTTTTGTTGTTACTGTCAAGTTCAGCAAATGATTTAAACTCTATCTGGGGATGTAGGAGTTCTGAATATTTATTAGTGATTAGCTTCATTATAAAATTGCCTTAAAAGTGAGCAAGGGGCTTGGACTCAGCTTGAACTAAACAGAGCTGGGCTTGTTGTGATGAGCATTATGATTTGATAAGAAGAAAAGAAGCCAAGGCCAACAAATGCACAGCTACACACTGTGTGTGTCTGTACACTGGAAAGCTTGCTGAGTAAATACTTCCAGCAGAATGTTTTGGATTAAGACAGTTCTGTCTCACCGATAATAGTTATATGATTCCATATTAATTAGGGTGAACTGTGCTACTTAAGAGCAGAAGCAGCTGTTGTGTAAATCAATCTCTGAACAAAAATAGCTTTTTTTTTTCTTATTAAAGAACATTTATGTCAGCATTAAGAAAACCCTAGGGGAGTGGTGATCATGAGTTAATCACACCATTGGGGGTGGGGATTAGGACCAGTCCTTTGTGTCTCCTTCCTCCCAACACGGGAGGAATGTGCAGCACATGATAGCTGTGCCCCTGCAGACTCCTGATAGCCCAGTGCATGTCACAGAGGTTGATTCTTGTTTGATGACTGTTTTCTTAAGGAACTGTTCAGACTCCAGCCAGAAATGCACATTCCACTGCTGATCCTTTAAAAATATCTCATCATATGCACAACTCCATGGCCAATTTAGGGCAATAATTATATATTGCTTCACGTGATGGAAGACTCATTGCTCCGAGGAGGGAAAGAAAAACCTGGATGCAAAAAGCTGAGTGACCAGATTCAGAATCCTCTTGATAGGGAAAGCCCAACAGAGAGGTGCTCACAGACCTTAATAAATGCAGTGCCTGCGCTTGGAAAGAGGTGTGGATACAGAACAGGATGAAGAAAGGTTAACTCACTTTCCCCTCTTTTCTTCTTCAACTTTTTTCTCAAAGCTGTTTAAAGAACAGAACCTTATGGTTGCCCATAACTATATGTATATATAATCTTTTAATCTGCTCAAGTTTTAGGTCTTTTCAGGTTTTTTTTTTTATTCCTTCCCCCAACCCTCCCCCCGAAAAGTGTTGTTACTCTTAGATTTGTGATATTGCCTGGAATTCTGTAGCACATTAAGAATTTTATATACCCTACAGAGTTGTAAGGAACACTGCCAGTTTATAAAGCATACTTCTGTCTTCCACACTTTTTATATAAAATCACAAATAACTGGTAATATTTATAAAACTGGAAGCATGTTTTTGTTACATTTTAATTTAGCATATGTCATAGGTTTCACATTGAATGTAATCAGTTTTACTGATTTACCTTTGCTTGTCTAGTATTCACCCCACAAAAACATTGGTTTAAATTACTAATTTTAGAAGTATATGGAATTTTAAAAAGCCTGCTTCACTGTACACAGATCCCAGTGTAAAATATATTTTCTGCTTAGTTTAAGTGGAAAATAAGTTTTAATACTAGAATATATTAAAAATTATGAAATACATATATAAAGCTCCTGGAAACATATTCATAGAAAGGTTGTTTTTTTAAAAAAAGCACATTATGGAGCTGAATTGTTTATTCACACAACTTTTTGAACTGATAAGCAAAGAAATATGTTGACTTTGTTATCTCTGTAATCCTGAGATGTTCAGTAACCAACGGCTGGATCTCTGCAAGTACATTTTATGCACGTGCTGGATTGCAGTGCAATGCAAGACAGCCTGGCAGGCTGTGATTTGCACCAGTTCATGCACAACATTAACATTCATTGTGCAAAATCCATGTTAAGCCACGTGTGAGTGTCTATAAGAACATAAAGACAGGAGAAAGGAATTTTTAAAACACAGACTCATAAATTTCAGCTGAAAAATCAGTGTTCAGTTGTCAGTTTTAAGAATAGCACTCATTTTTGTGTTGCAAGGGAGTACATGGGGAAGGATGACAGAGACTTCTTTTTTTAAAAGAGATCAGTTAAGCAGAATAGCATCCTTTTTACTAGGAAATATTAAAATGTGTTTACATTTAAAACCCTCTAGTTTCCTCTGCCTGCCTACATTATTCGTTCGTCATCCCTCCTGCCACCTCTTCACATCTTCCTGTGTAATGTTCTTTTTGCTGAGTTCCCCCCTCGTAGGTTTTGTGGGTGGTTAGGGTTTTTTTGAGGTTAAATACAATTAGTAGAAAATGTATAAGCAGCTGTTATGTCTTACTTATGTGATTTAGTTCTTATACTTAGATTTTGTGATGTTTAGACCTGTTTCATCCTTAAGCTATTTAATGCTGCATTTGAGATTGAAATCTTAAGTTGGAGATCCTTTTACTCCATTGTGTAATAAAAAATTGGCATTTCTGAGTAGATCAGGTGTAGATGTGCTGTTCTTGCTTTCTGCATGCAGTTTAAGAGGACACTACAGCTGGATGTAGATGTCTTGGAGTGCTCTGCTACTCCCTTTGTAAAATGTGTCTAGGTTCTATACAAGTGGCACAACCTCAATTTTTGCAGCTGTGAAAATGGAGTGAAAGAAAAGGAAAATTCTGTGCCCAGATGACACAGTTTCCATTTCTTAGTTCTTTAAAGAACAGAGAATTCTTATTTTCCCCAGTTCATGATACAGGATGCTTTTGTAATTTCTTACCCCCTCTTCTTACCCCCTCCCCCCCCAA